TCAAATCCTTCTACTTCCTCATATTTTCAGCTACAGACACCATTTCAACTTTAAAATGTTTCGAAAACCCTGATCTATTGCTGCATTATTCAGCTTTTTGATATCTTTTATACTTTTTGAACTGTCCCATTTTAACTTTTATGACTTTTTCAGCCCTTTTATGACTTTATAATGGGTGTGTATTGCGCAGCTTAGAGTGCGTGATGCCACCGCTAGAGTGAAGAGCAGCTTGAGATTCTTGTGAAAAAAAGATTTGTCTTTTGCCACTGTGTCCACAATCTTCACTCTTCATGCATAATTTCTGGATGTAAAAGTAGCTAATCTTGTCCTTGTTGTAGACAAATGACTGCGGAATCCCACAGATTTACACATTTGGCACAGAAGCCTGTAATTGAGAGGAAAACCAACTTTCTGCTCCATAGAGACCAATGTTAAATTTTGCTTCAAAAACATCTTCCACGAACACGGTACCCCATTTCTAGATCGCCATTTCAGCCACATTTTTTACACTACAGACACAATTTTTACAGGATCTGTTCTTCAACTCATCCTTCCTCTCATTTATTAATATCGGAGCAATAGGAGCTACGGTTATGTGAGTTTTGAGGATTTGTTTGAGAGGTGTTTCCCTGTTTTATCTCCATGAAAAGGCTGCAAGGACACAGGTGTTTCTGATTAAGCTAATTAGTGATATTGGTAAACACACAGACTCACAGACACACATGCACTTCTCTCTCTCTCTCTCTCTCTCTCTCTCTCTCTCTCTCTCTCTCTGTGTGTCTCTCATACATTCATTCAGGTCTTAGAGACTTTTAGAGGACCCCCCCCCCATTTTAAAATAAAAGCCGCACACACATGATTTAGAGATATACGTGATGCAGCTCAGCCAATCAAATATGGGTATTCTGATAAGTTTCCTGATTCGAGTGACATTTACACACACCGCGACACAAGAGGGAGAGACGAGGAAAGACATGGCAGAGCAGGACAACAGTCATGTAAGCTGTAAATGATAAAACATAGGACAATCTCCAAATGAGAAAGATTGCCAGAGAGATCAGAGTCTCTCACTCACTCACACACTCTCTCTCTCTCTCTCTCTCTCTCTCTCTGTCTGTGTCTCTCTCTCATACAGTCATTCAGGTCTTAGAGATTTTAAGAGGACTCCCCCCCCCCCACACACACCCCATTTTAAAGTAAAGGACCCACAAAATTAATTCTAACTGAAATGTTTGTGATGAAGCCTGTCATTTAATAACCTGTTTATGTTTATCTAACATTAAGATTATGTCTCCTCTCCCCCTCTCTCCCCCACCCAGTCCCACCCTTTCAAAATAAAAGCCTCATGGATTAACTGTATTTAAACATTAAGCTCAAAATTAGGCTTTTTTGTTGAAATAATGAATGCTCTTATGAATACTGCGACAACTACTACTGCTACTAATATTTCTAGTATCACTACTACTACTACTGCTACTACTTCTACTGCAACTTTTGCTGTTGCTACTATTACTACTGCTATTACTGATACCATCAATATTATTACTACCACTACTGATAATACTACCACTACCACTACTATTATTACATATACCACAACTGCTACTACTGCTATTCCTGCTACTACCAGTACTAATACTACTACAGCTATTAGTACGACTGCTACTAGTACTACTACTTCTTCTACTACTACTACTGTTATATTAAATACTACGACCACTACTACAGCTATTACTTACTACTACTGATACTACTACTTCTACTACTTCTTCTAATTACTAATACTTCGACTACAACTTCTACTACTACTGCTACTACAAATATCACTACTGCTACAACTAGTACTTATTCAAATGCTACTAATACTTCTACTGCTAATAATACTTCTACTACAACTACAACTTCTACTACTACTACTACAACAAATATCACTACCGCTGAAATTTTCTTAAGCTACAGAAACCGTTCGAATATCAAAATGTTCAGCTCTTTCAGGAGAGGGTGATATGACTTTTCATATTTGTAATCTTTCAACTTTTTGAATTATTAAGCTTTTTGCAATTTTCTTTTGAATGGGATCTCTATGGAGAAAATCTTCAAATCCTGTTAAACTTCTTCAACTTTCAAAGCCTTCTTCTTCATACTTTCAGCTACAGACACCATAGTTAGACATTTCAACTAGAAGGGTTTTCAGCAGTGCAGTTTAAATGCTTTCAAGCTTCAACATTTTTCAGACGGGCAGTCTCCCATTTCTTAATTTTCAGCAATTTTTTGACAATTAATTTCAGCTTTCAGCATTCCAACGCATTTTCAGCAGGAAATGCATTTTCTAGTTCCTCTTTATATTATTTTTCTATTTCTTCCATACGCTTTTTGAAACTCTTCTGCTCCTTCATATTTTAAGCTACAGAAACCGTTCAACTATCAAAATGTTCAGCTCTTTCAGCTCATGTCTGCTATGACTTTTCATATTTCTAACCTTTAAACTTTTTGAATTATTAAGCTTTTTGCAGCTTTTTTTTTGAATGGGATGTCTATGGAGAACATTTTCAAATCCTCTTAAACCTTTTCAACTTTCAAATCCTTCTACTTCCTCATACTTTCAGCTACAGACACCATTTTAACTTTAAAATGTTGTGAAAATCCTGAGCTATTGCCGCATAATTCAGCTTTTTGATATCTTTTACACTTTTTGAACTGCAGCAATTTAACTTCTATGATTTTTTTCAGTCCTTTTCTGACTTTATAATGGGTGTGTATTGCGCAGCTTAGAGTGCGTGATGTCACCGCTAGAGTGAAGAGCAGCTTGAGATTCTTGTGAAAAAAACATTTGTCTTTTGCCACTGTGTCCACAATCTTCACTCTTCATGCATCATTTTTGATGGAGAAGTAGCTAATCTTGTCCTTGTCGTAGACAAATGACTGTGGAATCCCACAGACTTACACATTTGGCTCAAGGAGCCGCAGAGCGACATGAACTCCAACAAACTGCTCCATTAGACTCCATGTTAAATCTGACCACTCATTTCTCAAAGAAAGCAGACGGTACCAGTTTTGTCTATTGCTTGCAGCTCACATTTTTAACACCACAAGCATAAAAAACACATTACCGCGTTCGGCAGAGTCTTATCTTTCTCACGGTATCCATATTTTGGCACTCAGACTCCGCGCTTTTTTTTGAAAGGGGCTTTGTTCAAAATCACTGTTTACTGTAATGTTTCTTAATCAGTCTGCCTCTAACACCAGGTGCGTCCTCACCACACAGGCTCTCTCTCTCTCTCTCTCTCTCTGTCTCTCTCTCTCTCATACAGTCATTCAGGTCTTAGAGATTTTAAGAGGACTTTCCACCCCCCCACCCCATTTCAAAATAAAAGCCCCAGAGAGTGAACTACTTGAAATGCTTGTGATGAAGCCTGTCATTTAATAACCTCTGTTTATGTGTGTCAAACATTATGATTATGTCTCCTCACCCCCACCCAGTCCCACCCTTTCAAAATAAAAGCCCCACAGAGTGAAATCTAACTGGAATGCTTTTGATGAAGACTGTCATTTAATAACCTCTGTGTTTCATACATTCTGATTCTGTCTCCTCTCCTTTCTCCCCCACCCAGCCCCACTCTTTCAAAATAAAAGCCTCATGGATTAACTGTATTTAAACGTTTAGCTCAAAATTAGGCTTTTTTGTTGAAAAACTTAATGCTCTGACTAATACTGCGACAACTACTACTGCTGCTGCTAATATAGTATTACTACTACTACTTCTACTATAATTTTTGCTGTTGCTACTATTACTACTACTACTATTACTGCTACCATCAATATTATTGCTACCACCACTGCTGTTACTACCACTACTACTATTACTTATACTACAACTGCTACTACTACTACTGCTATTCATGCTACTACAAGTAGTATTACTACTACGGCTATTAGTACAACTGCTACTAGTACTACTACTACTGCTACTTCTTCTACTGCCATTACTATTACTACTATAACTACTTCTACTACTACTACTGTTATATTAAATACTATGACCAATACTACAGCTATTACTACGACTACTGATACTACTACTTCTACTACTTCTTCTAATAACAAATACTTCTACTACTACTAATACTTCTACTACAACTACAACTTCTACTACTACAAATATCACTACAGGACTTTTCCCTTTCAAAATGTTCAGCTCTTTCAGGAGAGGGGTGCTTTGACTTTTCATATTTGTAATTTTTAACTTTTTGAAATATTAAGCTATTTGCAATTTTTTTTGAATGGGATCTCTATGGAGAAAATCTTCAAATCCTGTTTAACTTCTTCAACTTTCAAAGCCTTCTTCTTCTCATACTTTCAGCTACAGACACCATAGTTAGACATTTCAACTAGAAGGGTTTTCAGCAGTGCAGTTTAAATGCTTTCGAGCTTCAACATTTTTCAGATAGTCTCCCATTTCTTAATTTTCAGCAATTTTTTTACAATTAATTTCAGCTTTCAGCATTCCAACACATTTTCAGCAGGAAATGCATTTTCTAGTTTTATATAGCCTTTACAATCTGTACACATACGTACGACATCCTCTGTCCCAGGACCCTCACATCTGTACA